TATATATATATATATAATGAAAAATATATATGTAATGAAACACATGTTTCGTCATGTATTTTTCGTCTTGAAAAAGATTGGTGAAATCGAGAGTAGCGAGATACAGTATGTACAAGATGATACCTGACATTTATAACTGAACATTTTATGTCAATATCGAAAATATGTAGCATAAGCAATACTCTATCTACATATGTATCTGCGAGTTCGCCATGTCGCAAATATATGTAGTTGTAGATAAAAATTAAACGAACTTTCATACAATACAACCTACGTCAAATTGAGAAAATTGTTAATTATATTTCATAACTGATGAGAAGAAGATAAAAAAAGATTTTCCTTCTAGTTAAAATGTATTTTATTGAAAACTTAATAAATAGCACGGATTTGATGTAACAATACGTCCACCATACTATATAATAATTTGGAAGTACCTCAATAAAAAAATTACATTGAAGTACACATACGATCTAATCTATCTAAGCGAATCGCAAATTTCACTGTACAATGTAGAGAAAAATGATTTAATGCAGGATGCTTTACAGAAATAATTGTTGCTGCATCCTATATATATATATTCTGATAATTTAACATCTTATAGGCGTGCCATCGGGATGCGTCGGCACTTTTGGCTTGCAGATCTTCGTCCTACCGTTGGAACCGTACACGACATTACAAGAAAATGTGAAGTATCCACAGGTGGAACTCTTAGTATAATATCGATGTTCGTATTTTCTCGGTTCGTTACTGCCGTTCATTTTGCCGGCAAAACTGTTGGTCACGGTATAGTAACTCGGTTTCGCCGCTACTGCCGGGGTAGGTTTCGTACGCTTGTCGAAAGATATATTTTGATTAAGGGAAGGCTCTTGGTTTTTCGATATATGCCGGCCAATGTAACGATTGTGATTGGTCTGAAGCGATCTGGTCTCTGTGACGAGCGATGATCTAGTATTATTTAAGTCCTTAGGTACTAAAGATACAGTCTGCGATTGAGATTTACCGTCACCCTGAGCAACAGTCTCGGTGCCAGAGGCCGACATTACTCGGCCGCGGAATCCAGATGGGATAGTGTATCCTGATATGGATTGTCCTGGTTGCAAAATACTATCCGTTCGTGGTACATTTGAATCTTGTTTAACATGGATATTATATTGATTCCCTTTAGCGACCTGTATTGTCTGCGTTTGACTACGACTTTGCTGCTGAATAGTCTTGTCAAGTTTTTGATGATTCGGGTTCGAGCCCGGGAAAGTTTCCGAAAACTTCTCTTTGATTGTTAACTTCGAACCTGTAGGATAATCATCTTCGTCAGTGTAGTCATCGTCGTATTCGTCGTATGCTGTGTCATCCGTTCGCGGTTTTTCGGTAGAGAGCATCTTCTTGTCAGTGTCATCCGGATTGTTTTTCGAAGCCAGGATAACGGTCTGTCTCAAAGTCGAGCTGCTTTGCAAACCTTGCTCGCGATTTTGCTTGTTTTTATCCTGTCTATTATCGTAATTCGAATTTGTCGACTGTGCACCGTCAATATTCGTTGTTTGCTTCAAAGAAGGAGCTGGTTTGAAGGACTTGAAAAGTTCAGAATCAGTGAAGTTAAAGGGCTTCCTCGAGGATGCGGCACCAGATCCAGAACCGGCTTGTGCTGCGCCGGTGTATGTGATCCCGTATTGAAAAGAACCTTGTAGCTGTGATTGGGTCTGACCTCGATGAGTGCCACTTTGAGCCGATGCTGTTCCGCTACCGCGAAATGGTGTCTCGTGATTTTCCACATTCTCATCTTCGCCCTTCAAGTATGGCTGAAACCCGATCTGCGCCTGACTGGAAGTATTGCCCTCGCCGTTAGCTTGAGCATCCGCCATTCCGCCTTTGGAGCTTGCTTGCACTTGCGAATTGGTACCATGATTCCATCCACTGCTCTGAGCACCTGTCGAGGTAGCTCCGGAGTCGGAATCTAATTGAACCTGTGTTTGACTTTTTCCATAACCGGCGACGCCTTGCGCATTACTAGTAGCTCCTTCTTTACCGCCATTGATTTCAGCCTGAGCGCTCTTATTAGCGTCGCTAGTACCAGCTTGGGCAGAGAAAGTGCCTGAACCGCTATAGGTACCTGTCACTTGCGACTGAGCTGTACCCGATTCGTATTTACCCTGAGCCGAAGCGCTCGCTTGAGTACCCGAATCCATTTGTTGCACGGAACTCGATGCCTGTGATTCGGTACCGTCGTCTGTCACACCTGCTGGACCTGCCGGTTTAGTTAAGCCCCCAGTTTCTTCTATACCTGCAGATCCAATCATTCCCGGATAAAATTCTCCTGGATACTGACTACTGTCTACTCTTTGACTGATTCCGCCTGGAAACCGACCAAGATACTGCTCAGTCACACCAGTCCTTCCAGGTATTTGACCTCCCGTTATGTCTGGATACTGAACTCCTTCCTTTCCTGGAATTCCAATACCCGTGCCTAGGTACTGTCCACTTGGATAAGTTGGATATTGAACTCTTTGCTTTCCTGGAATTCCAATACCCGTGCCTGGGTATTGTCCGCTTGGATAAGTTGGCACTTGACCACCTGGATGGATTACTTGGCCAGGATATAAAGCACCGGCAGAAGGAATTTGTTGTTCACCGCCAGGATATATACCTGGAATAGTTCCTGGATATGTAACACTTGGAATAGTTCCTGGATACACAACTTGAGTACCTTCAGGAATCCTTCCAGGTTGAATAGTATCACCAGGGTAAATCGTTTGACCATTTGTTGGTCGACCATCTGGATAAGTTATTACTTGTGTACCAGTACCAGATGTTGTAGTCGTAATCGTACTAGGAACTTGACCTTCGCTTGGTAAAGTGCCTGATGGAACACCTTCAGGGCGATACACAACAGTCTGTTGTCCAGGATAAACTCCTTGAGTTACTGTTCCTGGTACAACACCAGGATATGTCCCGACACTTGTTCCTGGGATAGCATCAGGTCGAACACCACCAGGATAGATTCCAGTACCAAGAACTCCAGTACCAGGAACTCTTGTGCCAGGAATTATTCCTGTACCAGGAATTATTCCTGTGCCAGGAATTACTCCTGTGCCAGGAATTACTCCTGTGCCAGGAATTATTCCTGTGCCAGGAATTATTCCTGTGCCAGGAATTACTCCTGTGCCAGAAATTACTCCTGTGCCAGGAATTACTCTTGTACCAGGAACTTCTGTGCCAGGAACTCCCGGATATGTTCCACTTGTTAATCCTGGAGTACTAATTGGATAAGTAACAGCAGTGGCACCTGTTGTTACTGAAGTGGTTACAATACCACTAGGATACACACTTTGTCCTGGTTGAACTCCAGGTTGAATACCTCCTGGATATTTTTCAACTCCTATCGTCACACCAGGTAAAACTCCTCCACGCTGGACTCCAGAATATAGTCCACGATCTCCTGTGATTAAAGTTCCAGGTGGATATGTTCTATCACTTCCTGGTATCATAGTTCCAGGTGGCTGAACATCACCAGGATATGTCCTATCAACTTCTGGTGTTACACTCCCAGGACGAACACTTTCAGGATACATCCCATCAGCTCCTGGTGTCACGGTACCCGGACGAATATCTACAGGATACGACTTCTCAACTCCTGGTAACACAATATCAGGACGGACACCTCCAGGATATGTCCTTTCAGCTCCAGGTATCACTGTACCAGGACGAACACCTCCAGGATATATCTCTTCAATTCCTGGTGTCACTGTTCCAGGACGAGCACCTCCAGGATATATCTCTTCAGTTCCTGGTGTCACTGTTCCAGGACGAACGCCTCCAGGATACGTTCTTTCAGCTCCTGATATGACAGTGCCAGGACGAACACCTTCGGGATACATTTCTGGTCTGCCAGGGCGAATACCAGGATAAGTGCTAATTCCTCCAGGAATTACTCCAGTTGGATATGTTATCTGCCCGCCAGAATAAGATGGGACTCCAGGAACGATTCCTGGCTGTGTAACACCAGGTGTAACAACACCTGGAACTTGCACATATCCGTTAGTACGCGTAGGTGGAACTCGTACTTTATCTGGTGCCCTTTCGATACCAGAATATCCAAGATATCCAGGATAACCAGGACAATCTTCGCAACCGGTGCCACCTGATGACATACTTTGCGCTTGACCCATTCCACGACTACCACCTGAAAGGAGAACTTATTAAAATACTTAAATAATTTTAAAAAAACATGATAATTATAAGTTTTGTTTTTAATAAAATTCTTATTTATATAGTTAACCATAAATCTCACAATTTTAATCATATTTTGTAAAAATATTATTTTTTAATTTTTAATTTACATATTTTAATTTACTTTGGTATTTTTAATCAGATTGTTTTAATATAATTTTTTTTTGTAAAAAAGAAGCATTTAATTATTACACAGTTATGTAATATAATAGAATATCGAGTATTTAAATACTTACTAACTACTGCGTGTGAAGATTGCTGAGTAGCTTCAGCTTCGGCCTTGCCCTCTTTTTTTTCATCGTTACCAAAATTCAAATATTGAGATTGCGTCTGTCCACGAAATTTTCCTCGAAACTGATTCGTCTGCCGACGTTTTCGAATTTGGTTGATATTTTTGTTCAACTTCTCTTGTTGCTCGAGTTGAATCTGTCGTTTTGTCCGAACTTTCAACGGTATTAAAACCATATCAGTTATGCGTTTGGATGAAATATCGTTTTTGTCTGTAGAAATTTCATTGAAAAAGGGATCGAGAGCTTGCCCAGGCACAGATCTGATTGTTTGTAACAAAAAGATATTGCGTCTATTGCAGAAATCAACGATTCGACCTCCAGCAAGTCGCCACGCCTGTTTAAAATATTAAATTTAGATGTTTAATGTTTTTCTTCTGATTCATATTATATTATTGATGTATTTCTAGATGTAACTATTTAAATAATAACTAATAACAATTCCATTATGTTTTATAGTTCTTAAACATGTATGACAATATAATTAGAATACAAGTACATAAAGAATACAAGTCACAAGGAAACTAGACAGATAATATATTTAATTTAAATGTTGTATATATGCATACTATTTATAATTAATAAATTCACAACTATGGAAATAGTAAACAAATTCTAATCTTTTTAGATATGCACATTTAAACAAAACAATTTCAACATATCGCGTAACATTATTACCTCTAGTTTCGTGAGGACTGCCGATGCATAGAGTATCTTGAATTGTCGCTTCTTATGTGAAATAATATTATGACTCTGTCTTACATCTTCAAGATAACAATCGTTTTCCTTCTTGCTTTTGTATGCAACGAATTGCTATTTTGAAAAGATCAATTTTAATTGATATGTTTTAATATTAAGACAAATAATTACTTACCGTTACATCATCATTAAAAGACCATTGTTTCTCTTCATTATTGTAATCTATGTTTTTCATCTCATACTCGTATACAGATCGATCGAAACGCGTCTTTTCCTATGAATAATATTCAAATTACATATTAATAATAGTAATATTATAACAATATATATTATTATATTAATTATTTATACAAATTAATAAAAGATTAAGTAACATGAATAATATTATAAATAATTAATCTATTAAGGCCCGTGTCTTAATACAGCCGTGATAGCGCCAAACTGAATATGTGATTTATAGCATAAGCGAAAAAAAATTATCCGTATTTTTTAAATTCTATCTTCAAATTCGCAGCTCACTTCAGTTTGATTCTTCTCTCAATCTTTTTAACCCATTTTAACAAGAAAGATAAATTTACATTGGATTGCAGACAATTGTCAAATGCAATTCGTACTAAAATAATGAGATCGCAATAGCAAACGATAGGTAGAAATTTTACAATAATTATACATTTTTAATTCAGGAGCGGCGAGGGAGAGAATGGACAGCCGAGAACAAAAACACGCTGTCGTGAAAAGGCGAGAATCAGGAAGATTGTTGAAATCATTGTCTCATTATATCTCAGCGTTAATTATAGATTTTTAAGACTATTATAAGTCATATTGTATGGAAATAACGTTAACGGACTTTCGAGCGTTGTCAAAAGGGGGTGAAAAAAGCGTTGCGGTCGAGAGCAGGCCAGGCAATCCATATCCATATCATCCGTCCTTATCTCGGTGAGCTTTAACCTCCAAATCTTTCTTTCAACAATTGTCTTCTAGTCGTGCGCGTCAGTATGAATCACGCAAATAGGTTACTACAAGGGAACATTATAAATTGGAACAGGGTTGACAGGTTTAAGCAATAACTATCTCGATATCCGGTTTGAAATCCAACGTAGGAAACGGAAGCTTAATGGATGCGCGCTTTTGCTGGTCCGACCAGACATAGCAGTCGCAATTATGTGTTTAACGCAAATTTTACCACGAGTCTTTGGTAAATTTTTAATGAGCTTAAAATTCCTTAATAATTTTTAAGAGTAAATGATCAGGCTCTGATTAACTCAATCGGCAATTAAGTAACGCCAGTTTGTTAACATTAAAGTATCAAATTATCTTACAAAAAATAATAAATTACAATGAAAATAAAAAAATAATGAAAAATCTAACATTTTTTTAAAGTAAAATTATATAATTATTGAAAAATTAAAATATATTTCAGAAAATATATTTCAGAAAAATATATTCTATCTCTCTTTTAACATTAATCTAAAAAAGGAAGAAATGGTCAATAATAGAGTAATTGGTTTTAGTATTAACGTAGGTAAAATTATTAATTCGTTGTTTGATGCTGAGAAAGAAAACAGATTAGAGATAACAAATTATTATATAGTCTGAAATTGACTCTTTTGTCGCAATTGCAATTCTGCTGGTTGAGTTAATTGTCGACTAAACGCAGATCGTCAAATCTTCGAGAATAGATTTTACAAGATTTTTTATAAATTTTGTTGACAAGAGAATCACATATTTAATTCAGGATCTATACATACAATATTGGACAATATATTATAGGAAAATTTATCAACGAAATATAATAGTAGAAATCAAACAGACTTTAACTTGCTACGGAATTAGACGCAGATTGAAATAGAACAGAATTTGAATGCAAATCTACAAAAATTTAGAAAAATCGAAACGAATAAAATTTACTGTCAAATAATGTCAGGCTGTGTCATAAAGCATGAGATATTACACAGTTGTGAATACAGTTGATGTCAATTTGTAGTAATTTCTAATTGAATTTGTACTACTCGTGTTGGCATTCGACTACTGACAGTTTGCTTATTAGAAAATTCGATCAGAGCCTGATCGAAGTGACTGGCATAGGTATCAGTTTCGTGCAAAAGCGTGTTGAACGTTTTCTTACGTAAAAGCAGTAGTAATCATTTTAAAATTGCAATTCATACAATTCTGCTTGTTTTTGGACGCATTTATGAAGCGATGAATGAAGTAGAAGGATACTTAGGAGATCATATTTCCGCGTTTATCATCGTGGATAGATGATACAAGTTGACGATTTGCTGAATTTCACAATGCTGTGCGAACTATGGCGATGCCAAGAAGTGCCCTAAATTGCAAGAAGGAAAGATAAGCAGCTATCTATTACTCCGAATTGATGAATCAGTAATTTATGAATACGCGGATTAAATATCTAAATATCACCTACAAATCAACGATTTAATCAGTTTTATAATTGCATAGAAACTAGAGCGCTTTCCCCGCAAATGTCTGTTAATCATCTTCAAAATCTTATTAACAGAACGATGTGCTAACAAAATATGAATTAACAAATCGATGAAACAATTTGTGAGAATAATTAAAGCTTACATAAAATTTCTATAAAATAAAGAATATTGAAATGAACAATTTGAAAAAAATAATTAAAACTCTTACATAGAACTTAATAATAATATTTTAATATTTTAAATATTGTTAATTAATTATAAAGTTAGGAATTTTTGTAGTAAAACATGTAATCTCGAGAAGAGTTATTAAATTCATTTGTAAGCATTTGAATTAATTATATATCTATTTTATACTTTTTCCATCTTTTTTATGTGAATTTTTACAATACAAAATTTTATTTAATTTATTTAAATTAAAGCGCAACTTCAATTGGTTCAGCGTTGATTTTTTTATTTGCCCTAAGAGAGAAAAGCGGATAAAGCGAAAAGAAATAAAATAAAATAAAGTAGGTAAAGAAACGAAGGAGGGTTTAACCAGAAAAGTAGGAAAGTAAAGAGATAAGCAAAAATTTTTATAATAATATGTAATAGCTTGCGGACGATGTATGGATGTATTGACGAATGAGTTAAGAATTTTAACCAAGTCCCCTTCTTGGCTGTAAATATGCTGAAGTGTAATAAATTCTATTCTATTCTATTCTATTCTATTCTACAAAGATAAACAAAGATTAATTCACAAACTCGTTTGGTCTCTTTCAAATGCACTGCGAATCTTTTGTTATTAAATGTGTGATAAAAAACAGGTGGTGGAACGAGCTTGAGATCTCTTCGCGAGAGAAATGGAAAACTTACGTGGTACCTCGCGAGTGCCGTGCTCGCGAGGAAGATCAGGACGATGAGACACAGCCGCATAGTTCGAACCGTTTGCGGGACGACTTTCACGACTGATGCGAACCAACGTTTCGACGATGTTCTAACCCTGTTGGATTAGATTCCCACCGATTCTACTCGCTTCTTCCGCTGCGTCTCTTCTTCGGCCCCATCATAGTCAGTCCCACGAAGCGCCGCTTGGAATCATAGGAGTCTATGTGATCCCGCGAGGCGGGAGTAAGAATCGCTGGACAAAATTCCGAGAATGTGCGTCGTGATGTAAGTGCGTACGAATGCTCGTGTATATCACGTTATCTCGTTTGGTCTCGTCTTGTCGCCGCAGATCTCATTACCGAAAGATATGCGCCTGTCATTGACTTAGAAGATCCCCCATGATGTAGTTAGAAAGAAATGAAAAAATGATACTGTATCACTGTATTGCTTATTAGACAAGCAATCCAGAATATCTCAAACTTAAACCTTTAAAATCAAATTTTTTCATAGATTTGAAATTTTTTTTAACAAATTTTTTTACAATTTTACATGGTAATTTTTATTTATTATATGCACATATATTATATATTTATTTATTTATATGGAGATATTCTATTCAAAATCGTATAAATATGTATCAATTACAAGCAACATTGAGTTAACTTGACTTATCGGATTAGTTACTTTCGCTTTCGTTGGCCTAATTATTGAGTCCAATCTATTTGTTAAATACAGTTAGTCGCTGTTTATTTTACTACCAAGCGTAGCTAATGATCGCATGGTTCATCGGCGCGATAATAAGTTCAATAAGTAAAAAGACGAAGCGAGAGAGTATTGAACGGAAAGCTTTATATGACCGCGAGTGCTGCAATCCGATATGCATCCGATATATATTTTGTTAAATTATTTACAATTAAATTGTTTGGCATTACACTTTTAAACTTTATCATATAATAAAGGTGAGGAAAGGATTAAAAGGAATTGAGAAGCTGAATAAGAAAAATGGAAAGTTAAAGTTATTTAAACGCGTCTGAATGTATACATTACATATATCACTTCGTGTATTATTCTTTCATTACGATAGACAAGACTTTTACAATTCGTAAAAAAGAATACGAGTAAATGTTTCGCATAGGCACTCCGGTGTACAAATAGCACGTATAATACAACGGTTGTAATAAATCGCTATCTAAAAAACGACTATGTCAACGTCTCTCCTTCACTCGCGCGACTAAAATCTAAATCGTAAAAGTGGGAATGCTATTTACAACATGTGGTCAACGCGACTACGTGCTTAATCGTTAGATCAGGATCCCTATTCTCGTCCATGGGCGATCTATCGAATGACTAGGACGCACGTGTGTCTGAATCGCTCGTCAATTAATTACAATTATACAACTCGAGCGGATTCCTTGGCGAATGCGGCGATCAATCTCGTTGCGCGACACATTATTACGCTTACATGAAATCTTTATCATAACCGTCGCCATTCGCATAATTTGCATAATCTTGCCGTCTGTTGAATCCTTGAAAAAAAGGAGTATTTAGTACTGTCGATCGAGATAATATTCGTCGCGATGATAAATTAAAAGCAAGTGAAAAATTTTCTTACGACGGCAGATTACGTTTTACGATGGCGAAACGGATTCGACTAGTTCGACACTCTGACCGGACACCAATCTCTGGCACCGCAAACGAATGAAAGAAGAAGACCTTATTTATCGCCGTTATTGTAATGAATTCACTGCTGGAGAACGCTGCCAGCAGCCTACAGTAAACTACAGGCGCATTGCTCGATTGGATAACATTTGTTGGACATTACATACAAATGATATTCTAATTAGAATTAATACAGCAAAATTCATCACATAATAGGTGGGTACTAGTGAAC